GTCGGTCTTGGACCCTCGTGTGGAATACGCGGTTTGCTCGGCGGATCCCGCTACTGAAGAGAAAGACGCGATCACACGATCGTTGGGCGTCTACATAGTCGTCCCCCGGCCACTACACAAGCTGAGCTTGACCAACAAAAACGTCTCCAAGCTCGCTTCTTGGTTCCGCAAGAAATCCCGCTGGATACGTACCGCGCTCGATTTCGCGCTCAAAAAGGAGGCCCTCTTATACCCGCGATGCGAGTGATTCTTGTGGTGCTAGCCCCTTGCAAAACCGCTGCAAATGATGAAGAGCTCTTTGAGCGATGGGTGCAGCGGCACCTAACTTCTCTCACTGTCTAATTTACAGCGGAACCACAAGGAGGTGGAGGTGCGCGTGGAACGCCATCTTCATTTCAAGTTTGCCAAACTCAAGGCGTATCACCAACTTCGTTTCATATTGCCGCCCTGCGACGTATGGATTAATCCATCATGATCCCTCGAGCTCTGTGGTCTCTCACACGGGTGAGCCTACGACCACAGCACTTTAGGACCATAGCTTGAGCTTAGCTCACGACCCTTCGGCTTCCCGGGCTATTGCCGAGAAGCATAGAGCGTTATGATCCTTCTGATCATAAGCGTCCACGACGTCTGGGCAGTCTTGCCGAATTGGCACCTCAAAATCCCAAGAGCTTTTGAAGATTGAGTATTCCCGCCACTTTACAAGATATTGGGTTTGACCCTGTCGACGACGTCGACCCACAAGGCGTTCCACGTGATAGTGGACGCCACCATTCTCGTCAAGAAGAGCCGGCACCGGACGATAACGACTTGGTCGATCGCCGTCCGGTGACTTGTGATACTCTTTGAGCTCTTGGACAAGATCCGTCGCCATCGGCATTCTGCTGAGCGTCTTGCCGAGGTCGCCTACCGCTGTGCAGAAGACCTTGAGATTTAGAGCACTTTGTGCACCGACTGCCTCATATTGAGAATTATCGCGCTCTGTCGGAGCGGCTCCGAGCCGGCAAACAGACGAATGCGTCACTTCATGCGACGGTGGAGCGCCTGGCGCCGTTGGAAACGGAAAACGTCGCACTTCGTGCTCAAAATCAGTTGCTGGTTCAGCTTCTGGGTGGTCGAGCGCCTGTGGGCGCCGCCCCGGCGCCAAAGTCTCCGCTTTCACTTGCGCCGGATCCCGGTATGGCTTACAAGCCCACATAAAACACCGGGTGGATGAACCTCCATTTCGTAAGATTTGGCGTTTACGCAGGGCTCAGGTGTTCAACACAATGCTGTTACATACGCTGCGTGAT